TTTTTGGCCTTTGAGCATTTGAGCTAACACAATGTAGCCACTTCGTTGAGGTGTGCTCATGGGTGCACTAATTTACCCTACCCTGTGCCTTGACTTACAGGCTGGCCTGATTGAGTCACTGACGTTTATGCTTAACTAAATCCAGACTGAAAACTAAAACTAAGTGTGAAAATATATTTAAATATACTGAATTTTTTAAAATGCCTTCGAAAAAAAAACCCCCACAAGTCAAATGTACTGTGAAAGAAATAGAGAGAAAGTGTTGTAATAGCTATTCTGAATTTCAATTTTGCACCTGACCAAGAACTACCATTTTGTAATGATCATAAACAAGCAGATTGTAAATAAACGAATAAAAACTCAGCTAAACCTAAACAATTTCAAACAATAACACTGAAAAAAGCAAACTCTAACAAAAGGAAATGAAAAAATAAAAACTAATGAAAATATACAAAAAAATAACAATAGTTGCTTAAGCTTTAAGATAGTTTGTGTACAAAATTAATATATCACTGACTTTTACAAAATTATTATAATTATTATTGACTCATTTTAATTATTTCTACTTTTATTATTGCTATTTTAATAGACAAATTTTAACCATCATCACTTTTTGTCAGTATAGCAACGTCATAGTTATCATGAATCCATAGTAATGTGTAGTGAAAATCTAGCATCCCAATGGGTCACACTGATAAGTGTGACACTTGAATTTTACCATTTTTGTGTTAATACAATATTATTCAAAGAGAAATTGCGGGATTTTTACTTTTTACTGCTCTCTTAATTTGATTAACCCATTTAATGTTTTATAGTCATAGGAATGCAAGCACAAAAGCAACCACCAATGACTGAAGTTCTGGAGGATGAAGCGGGGGAGGGAGAGGCAGAGGGAGAAGAAGGAGATGAAGGAGAGGAAGCTGGGGAGGACGAAGAGGAGGAGGAAGAAGGGGAATATGAGGAAGAGGAGGAGGAGTATGGAGATGAATATGAGGAAGAGGAGGAGTATGATGAGGAGTATGGAGATGAATATGATGAAGAGGAGGAATATGAGGAGGAAGAAGAAGTAGATGAGGAGGAGGAGGGGGAGGAGGAAGAGGCCAAAGGAGACGAAGAGCAGGAAGGCGAAGAACTGGAGGATGAGGAAGAGGAGGAAGGCGAAGAACTGGAGGATGAGGAAGAAGAGGAGGGGGAGGAGGAAGAGGCCAAAGGAGATGAAGAGCAGGAAGGCGAAGAACTGGAGGATGAG